TTGAATCTCTGCACAGGTAGCAGTTATGAAAAGCCGTCTTCTATCCAGAAAGAGTGTCATTCAAAGCACTTTTGCCTGGCATGGAATGCTGGGAATGGGTGAGTGGCTTCACTTCCTAGAGGCCTTATAGGACAAAGGGATCTTGATTCAATCCTCCCAAGGGAAAGCTGGAGGAGATTTTCAAGTAGGAGAGTGACATTATCAGGTGGACTTTTGTGAGGATCGCAATAGACAGCATACAGAAGACAGGCAAGAATGAGAATATAGTACTTTTGGGCCAATAGTGAGAAGGCTTTAGGTGGGGAAAAAAGTGCCAATTTCCTGGATTAAGGCAAGTGATAGGCAAAGAGATAAAAATCTAATAAGACTTTTCTGTAATTGATTATGTGTGTACCAGAGTAAAAATGCCTAGGTTTCTAATTTGGACAATTTGGTGGGTGGTCCCTATGGTTTCCTCTTGGTATGTAGGTACTATGTTTTATCTTCATACAATAAAGATGTTCTTGCCAAGGTAGTGCCCACGGGTATTATTGCTGGAAGAAGATTGGCTGGAAGGTTGGCAAACATTGTTGTTCCAATCTCTAGGTCACACAAAGCACTGGTTTTGGCAAATGTTAGATATCCTAAAGGGGTAGAAACATTTTTTTAAAAATCCCGAACTTTTTACATAGAAACATGAAATGCTGTAACCCCCTGCAAGGATCCCTTGGAGAGCTACATTGAAAACAAACATATTAAAGGCTCATAGTAACTCAGAGTTTCTCAGAGTCACTTGAGTTTAGAATTCCTTTTACACAGAAAACATATTTGGGGATATTGCTGTGTAGAAGAGATCTAACAAACTGAACGCAGTCTCAATGTTATGACATTGAGAGGAGGCTAGGATTCCATTATTGAAGAATATCTGTGTAGTGTTCTGCCAAATGTTTCCCAGCCCAAGTGGGAGGAAAGATAAGAGGAAACGTGGGAGGAAGTACAAAATCATTGTCATGCAGAGTAGAACAGCAGAGTCCTCTGAGCTGCAGGTGTAGAGTACTTGCCTAGCACATGCAAAGCCCTGGGTTCCATCCCCAGCACAAAAAAGGGTCTCCCTTGGTAGTACAAGGTCATGAATTTAAAGTGAGACCAACCTCCTACTGTTTTTGTACTGTTTTCTCCAGTAACAGTCAGTTACCCAGATTCAGTTGCTGAAAAGACAGGGGCTGGGTTGAGCCAGCATTAGGATTTTTCAGGTGAGAAGGATGGTAGGGAAGGGGCATGAGGTGTTAGGAACAGATTCCATCTTCGGTGCAGAGGGAGGGAGGAACACATGAGGGTGTGATGATAATGGAGAAGGACAAGCCTTTGGATCAGGAGCTCTTGGGCTGTCAGAAGACAGCCGTGATCTGGAGCACTAGAGTGCAGAAATGGAAGGGAAAGAAGATGGGAGATTTCAGAATTCCAAGGTAAGGCCCATATGGTAGTGGTAAGAGCTGGGGTGTGACCACGTGGGGAGAGGAGTGAGTGAGTGATGGTAAGAGGTTCTTAGAAGAGGTCAAGGTGCTGGTGACACCCAGGACAGCAGTGGATATAGGATGGAAGAGGAAGGTGATCGAGCCAAGTGCTAATAATCCTCAGGATTCAGGGAGGACAGGGAATTCTAGAGATAGTAGCAACAAGACAGTGAGTGGAATCACTAGCAGGTGACATGAGCTTCAGAGGAGCTGAGAATAGTAAAGAAAAAAAAAGAAATGCTTTTGAAACAACACCTCTAGCTCCACATTAATCTTTTTATTTTTATTTTTTATTCTAATTTGTTATATATGACAGCAGGATGCTTTACAATTCGTACTACACATATAGAGCAAAATTTTTCATATCTCTGGTTTACACAAAGTAGAGTCACACCATCGTGTCTTCATACATGTACTTAGGATAATAATGTCCATCTCATTCCACTATCTTTCCTATCCTCATACCCCCTTCCTTTCCCTCCCACCCGTCTGCCCTATCTAGTGTTCATCTAATCCTCCAATGCTCCCCCCAACCCCATCATGAATCAACTTCCTTATATAAGAGAAAACATTCAGCATTTGGTTTTGGGGAATTGGCTAACTTCACATAGCATTATATTCTCCAACTCCAACCATTTACTGGCAAATGCCATAATTTCACTCTTCTTTAAAGCTGAGTAATATATTATTGAGTATATATACCACATTTTCTTTGTCCATTGATCTATTGAGGGACACCTAGGTTGGTTCCATAGTCTAGCTATTGTGAATTGAGCTGCTATGCACATTGACATGGTTGCATTACTGTAGTATGCTGATTTTAAGTCCTTTGGGTATCAACCAAGGAGTGGGATAGCTGGTTCCATTTCAAGTTTTCTGAGGAATCTCCATACTGCTTCCAGAGTGGTTGCACCAATTTGCAGTCCCACCAGCAATGTATGAGTGTGTCTTTTTCCCCACATCCTCACCAATACTTATTATTGTTTGTATTCTTCTTTTTTTTAGAGAGAGAAGAGAGAGAATTTTTTTAATATTTGTTTTTCAGTTTTCGGTGGACACAATGTCTTTATTTTATTTTTATGTGGTACTGAGGATTGAACCCAGCACTGTGCACATGCCAGGCGAGCGCGTTACCACTTGAGCCACGTCCCCAGCCCTTGTTGTTTGTATTCTTAATAGCTTCCATTCTGACTGGAGTGAGAAGAAATTTTACGAGGAGTTTTGATTTGCATTTCTCTAATTGCTAAAGATGTTGAAAATTTTTTCATATATTTGTTGATTGATTGTATATCATCCTCTGAGAAGTGCCTGTTCAGTTCCTTGGCCCATTTATTGATTTGGTTATTTGTTTTTTGTTGTTGAGAAGAAGCTTTTTAGTTTGAATCCATCCCATTTATTGATTCTTGATGTTAATTCTTGCACTACAGGAGTTTTATTAAGGAAGTTGGGGCCTAATCTGACATGATGGAGATTTGGGCTTACTTTTTCTTCTAGGTGCAACGTCACTGGTTTAATTCCTAGATCCTTGATCCACTTTGAGTTGAGTTTTGTTAATGATGAGAGACAGGGGTTTAATTTCATTTTGTTGAATGTGGATTTCCAGTTTTTCCAGCACCATTTGTTAAAGAGGCTATCTTTTCTCCAATGTATGTTTTTGGTGCCTTTGTCTAATATACGATAATTGTAATTATGTGGGTTTGTCTCTGTGTCCTCTATTCTGTACCATTGGTCTACAAGTCTATTTTGGTGCCAATACCATGCTTTTTCTGTTACTATTGCTCTGCAGTATAGTTTAAGGTCTTGTATACCCACATTAGATTTTGAGATGTGGAATATCAGAGAAAAAGAACCTCAATTTTAGGGAGCCATAGGGACAAGAAGTATCCTCAGGGAACATTTGGGCTCCAGATAGAACCAGAAAGTAAAGGGAAGGTAACAGGAGTTTGCTAAGGCACTGTATTCCAGAAGGCACAGTGGAAGGGTTTAAGAGTGTGGGAGGGTGCCGCAGTCCGGCAGGCTGCCGCAAAATAAGGGGGGGGGGGGGTGGTGACGAATAACTTGTGTACGTTGATACAGCAGGAGTAGGCCCCGTTTATTACAGGACAGGAGCAGTATTTATACATTCCACACAGCTTATCTAATTAGCATAAACTAGATACAGCAGTCAACCAATAAGAAATCTCCACACTTAATGGCTCGCTGGTGTTACTTCACAAACCACTCCCTCTGGCATTTTGCCAGGCACCATCCAGACTTGTTTACTAACTCTAACATTCCCCTGGCAAAATGCCAGGTGTTATTTTGACTTGTTTACAGACTCTAACAGGAGGGGTGGGGAAAAATTGGTTGGAAGGATGCCCACTATTCATAGGAATCCATCAGATGATGGAGCTGCGAAGAGGATGAAGAAGAAAAGACTGGTCCTGGTGAAAGATGGTTGGCTCCAGTAACATCAGACAGAGGCCTCAATTTGCTTTGGCTGAACCAAAAAGATAATTTTGTACTTAGCCCTCCTTTACTGTATATGATTCCTCTGGTGTCTTACTTCCCACAGCAAGTGAGGCTGGGTCCAATGGCTTATGCATACTTGAGTGGACTCAAAAAACAGCCACTACAGAAATGATTCCTCGGGAAGAGGCAGGGACACCACCCTCTACAGAAGTGCATTCTGGCAGGGTGCAGAGGCACACACCTGTAATCCCAGAGGCTCAATAGGCTGAGGCAGGAGGATCTTGAGTTCAAAGCCAGCCTCAGCAAAAAAGAAAGACACACTAAACACTAAACAACTCATTGAGACCCTGCCTCTAAATAAAATACAAAAAAAAAAAAAAAAAGGCTGGGTATGTGGCTCAGTGGTCAAGTGCCCCTGAGTTCAAATCCCTGGCACCAAACAAACAAACAAAAGTGCATTCTGGAAGGTGCTTCCACTTGACTCTTCTCCCCTTGCTGGCACCCAGATGTCCTCCCCGAAGGAGAGCAATCCAACTGAGGAGACAGGTGCTTTTCCTTCAGGCTAGCCTTCCCCACCAGGGGACACATTTTCCTCTCAAACTCTTTTTCCCCCTGTGGCTGAGGCTCTCTTGATGCTCTGGTTCTTTCTTTTCTGTGCTTGACTGGGCACCTGAACCAATATCAATGCACAAAGGGTTTGCTCTGTAGACCATCCCTCTCCACCTGCAGTTCCCAGAATGTAGCCCTGCACTGCCCAGTAGTCACAAGTAGCTCCTTCTATTTAAATTAACAGAAATAAAAGAGAAAAGGCAGTATCTTGATAACTCTAGCTTAGCTGCATTTCTAGCGTTCAGTGGTCTCACTTGATTGGTTACCATTCCGGGTCAGCACATGGTAGAAAGTTCTTTTATAAGGTGCTGGTTTAGGCCATGAATAAAGATGCTATGTGGGTTTCTTTCAAATTCATGTATTTTTTCTTCATTGCTGCAGAATTCATGAATTAGCGCAGAAACTCCAAGGTGTGAGAAAGGAACTGGACTGTGCTGAGCACCAGGCATGGCGCAATACAAGGGCACCATGCGGGAGGCTGGCAGGGCCATGCACCTGATCAAGAAGCGGGAGAAGCAGAAGGAACAGATGGAGGTGCTGAAGCAGCGCATCGCTGAAGAGACCATCATGAAGTCGAAGGTGGACAAAAAGTTCTCGGCTCACTACGATGCCGTGGAGGCGGAGCTCAAGTCCAGCACGGTGGGCCTGGTCACCCTGAACGACATGAAGGCCAAGCAGGAGGCCCTCCTGAGGGAACGCGAGATGCAGCTGGCCAAGAAGGAACAGCTGGAAGAGCGCCGGCTGCAGCTGGAGTTGCTGCGCGAAAAGGAGCGCAGGCTGGAGCGTAAGCGCAAGATTTCCAACCTGTCCTTCACGGTCGGCGATGGCGATGACCGCGGCGATGACCTCAATGAAGGCAGCATGGCCGAGGCCAGCAAGAGCAAGAAGAACCTGGGCAAGAATCCCGACGTGGACATGAGCTTCCTGCCAGATCGTGACCGCGAGGAGGAGGAGAACCGGCTCCGAGAGGAGCTGCGCAAGGAATGGGAGGCCAAGCGCGAGAAGGTGAAGAGCGAGGAGATGGAGATCACCTTCAGCTATTGGGACGGCTCGGGGCACCGGCGCACCATGCGCATGAACAAAGGCAGCACAGTGCAGCAGTTCCTGAAAAAGGCGCTGCAGGGGCTGCGCAAGGATTTCGGCGAGCTGCGCTCGGCCGGCGTGGAGCAGCTCATGTACATCAAGGAGGACCTCATCCTGCCCCATTACCACACCTTCTACGATTTCATCATCGCCAAGGCCAGGGGCAAGAGCGGTCCGCTCTTCAACTTCGACGTGCACGATGACGTGAGGCTGCTCAGCGATGCCACCATGGAGAAGGACGAGTCTCACGCAGGCAAAGTGGTTCTGCGGAGCTGGTATGAGAAGAACAAGCACATCTTCCCCGCCAGCCGCTGGGAGCCCTACGATCCCGAGAAGAAGTGGGACAAGTACACCATCCGATGATGGGCACGCCAAGGCCCCTGGCGTCCTTCTGCACGTGCCAGGAAAGACTCATCAGAATAGGAAATACTCAGATTCCTAGACCCTGTAACTTCTAACATCGTTTGATGAGCTTAATTTCTTACCTGAAATTTAATAAAGACAAAGGGGTCCCATTATTCAATTTGGTCATTCTGTGACTGATGTTATTCTTTGGTTATTTGATTGGTTTTTTAAGTATATATATATATATATATTTTTTAAATACTGCTTCATGGCTTCGTTGCATGGCCCTTTTGTACATTATGTGATAAAGTAAAGAGTACATTTTGGGCCAAGAGCTCTAAGGATGGACTTTGGAGCCAGAAATGACTGGATTTGATTTCCTGCTTCTGCTTCTTACTGTGTACTTTTGGGTGAGCTTAATAAATTTAAGTGCCTTGGTTTTCCCACCTGTAAAAGGAAATGACAGTAGTGCCTACCTCATAAGCACTGATGTGAGGAGTAAATTGACTATTTGTAAAACACTTAGAATTCAATAAATGTCTTCTGTTCTTCTTATGGTCTTGGTTACTTTATTGAAAGGTTTGCTATGACCCAGTTATGAAATGTCTGAGGCCAGGGGTATACCTGCCCATCACTACTCCCAGGATAAGTGGTTAGGAGAGGGGAGGGGGCTCACATAGGTGAGACAGCAGCCCCACCTCTGGTTTCCTTAGCTGGTTGGTTAGCCCAAGGGGTTAGGAGGATAGAAATTGAGTACATGGCCTAAAAGTTCATCAATTTCCTTTTTGACAAAAGCTCCAATATGGTTGATTCCACAAAGCACTGTTTCAGATTGTCGTCTTCTAAAATTTTTATATTTCATTGATTGTGACTGTTAACTTTAATTTTAAAAAGAGATTATATTAAAATATTATTCATCTCAGCTACTGAGTTTTTAGGTGCCCCTTTCCTTTAACCTTACAGCCCAAGGCATATACCCCTCTCAATTTACCCTAGTCCCAGCATGGACTCTAGGAGGGATACTTCTCAGAATTCTTGTCCAACCAACATTGGCTTTCCAGGATGGTGAGTTCCAATGTTGGTCTCTTAGAATCATCAGAGAAGCTTTTAAACTTCTCAATTCCCAGCACCCAGAGCCAGATCTCAGGGGACAGAATGTAGATATGGTGTTTTGAAGCTCCCCAGTCAGATTAGACAAATGCTGGACACCCTCCCTCTATCCCTCCTCTTGAGTTTCCTTGCAACAAGCACACCTGGTCTGGGTCCAGGACACATGCTTGATTCTGGGTCCAGGACACACACTTCAGTGGAAAACAGGTCCTTACTACTGGAGGTGAAATCCTTGGCCCAGAATCAGCACTTGGGAGATGGTTAAGAAGCAGAGTCTCGGGTTCCATCACAGGTCTACTGAATTAGAACATGTGTGCCAACAAGACCCTCTAGTGATGCATAATCAGATTTAAGGAACCTCTGGCTGACCAGATGTCTACTCTTTGGCCTATACTTCCAGGATGTAGACTTGGGGGTGCTAATAGTAGAACCCTACCTCTTTGGTTGTAGGCCCAAGTCATGTTTTTCAATCCAGCTTTAATTTAGAAGTTGATATTCTAACCACAATCTAATCCTGCATCTGTTTTATTATTATTATTATTATTATTATTATTATTATTATTATTTGTGGGGAGCCACATTGAGTTATCACGCCTTCCAGTCCTAATGCACCACGGGGATCTGAAAGGTCACTCTAGTCTGGAGCAGTAGTGCTATGACTCTGGAGCGGTAGTACCATGACTCGAGACTCAGTCTTTATACCCCACCCCCGCTCGGATAGCAAGGCCAGTCTTCTGAGAAGGCATACCCCTGGGGTTGAGCTACACTCACCTATTCTTTTGTAATCCTACCCCTTTGCCCTTTTTGGGATAGAATGTTCCATGGAAACTCCCTTTGTGTGTCCCCTTCTCTTGCTCTACCTTTAGGCATGGCCTTCCTAGCTGTCAGTCAGCCTGCTGACAGCAGACATCACAAGCTAGACTCAACCCCTTGAAACCTGACCCCTTGCCTCATTTGAGTGGCTTCTCCCCAATAAAAGGATTTCTCTCTCTCTCTCTCTCTCTTTCTCTCTCTCTCTCTCTCTCTCTCTCTCTCTCTCTCTCTCTCTCTCTTTCCATGGACCCCTAAGGTCAGAGGAGCAAGACCCAAAGAAAAAGGTGTCTCCATCTCTTGTGTGATTATTTCTTGCAACCTAGTTCACCTGGAATGACCCTGAGTGTTTTAGTTGTGAGGAACGCAACATTTATTGCTATTTGTGTTGTTATGTATTGACAAATGATAGTCATATATATTCCTGGGGTGCAACGTTGGGTTATGGTTTTTAATTATTTTAACATTTTTTTGTTGTGAGAACATTAGAAATTTACTTTCTTAGTGATAATATATACAATACTTAATTATTAGCCATATTAAGCATGCTGTGCAATTAACCTAAAAAAAAATTGGACTTATAACTGAGGCTTTGATACCTTTGATGCCCCCTCCCTACTCCCTTCACTCCTGGTCCCTTGCAATCACCATTCTATTTTCTGCTTCTTTTAGTTCAATTGTTCTAGATTCCACGTGTAAGTGAGAACACAGGGTATTTTTCCTTCTGTGTTCTGTAGTTAAGTCATGGGGTTACTACCCTCTGAAATGATTATGCAGCTCTTATAAGACTGAATCTCCAGAAAGCAGGTATTTTATAAAAAACTGAGTTTGGCTTTCTGCCTTGCCACGTGATCCCTTCTGCACATGTTCCATTCCCTTTCTGCTTCTCTACTACATTGTGACACAACCAGAAGTGCTCTCTCCAGAGTTGAGCAAATGCTGACACCATGCTCTTGGATCTCCAAAACTGGGAGCTAAATATGCACTAAGACACACCAGCCTTCTGACATTCTCCTAAGACTTCCCTACTGCCACAGCCATGGTAGTTACAAGACTGAATGTGCTGGGAGTGAACCAATAGCTTCTGTCACCAATTGGAACCCCAGTGTAGGAAGGGGTTAAATACATGTTCAGACTTCAACATATGCCAGATTACTTGATAAACCATATTTCATCTAATAATCACTGCAATACAAAATATTTGTATTATTAGCCTGATGCAGAAATTGTGGATCTGAACTATGGGGATTAGGTTGCAACTGGAATGTTGTGGTATAATAAGAAAGATATTTGGTCTTTATCCCAGTTTCCTGGCACAGAGCTCCTAAAATCTTTGGAATTTCCTGAATAGACATGTTTTTGTTGTTCATAATGAGCATCTGTCAATCACACCTGGGTTTATGCTAATGAGGTGACTTAGGATAGGCCACCTATCCTGAGGTGACCTTCAAGGATGAAGCTGTTCACCAGAAAAACCAAGTAATTAGATAACTGGAATTTTCAGCCTGTAGAAAACTCTCGAACAGCAAGATTTGGTGAGCTTTTGGGTAGTGAACTCATCCAGTGGAGGAAAGCTGGTGTACCCCAACTCCACAGGGCTAGACACCCCTATGCTCAGGATCCTGCAGCACCTTGCCCTATATGCCTCTTCATCTTTGTTACATCCTTTAAAACAAACATAAGTTAAATGTTTCCTTGAGTCCTAGGAACTGCTTTAGGAAATAGAGTCATGGGAACCTCTAATTTATAGCCAATTGACCAGAAGTACAAGAGGTCTTGATGGTATTAGTGTCACAGTTGGGGCAGACTTGTGGGACTGAGCCTTAGCCCATGGGATCTGATGCAGTAGCAAGAATGCAGTTGAATTTTTTGGATTCCAGCTGGTGTCAAAGAATTGGTCAGTAAAGAAGACACCTGCCCATCTTGCATCAGAAGTGCTCCATGTGAGTGTCAATAAACATGTCTCCTCACAGATTTAAACCTCAGTCTGTTTGGCTTCTACACCTTTGATTTTCGGTTGAAGCTTCATGTTTATTCATAGTTGCACATTGTATAAAGAGAGATTTCTATCAGACTTGTGAGAAAAGCACGTGCCCTCTGCCCCATCACCCTCTCAGTTTCAGTTCCTCAGAGGTAGCTACTTTTCAGCAAATGCTCTTGAAATTGACCTCTGCATCTCCGAATAACCTATCATCTTGCTGCTTCTTGAGTTTTCCGGTTTAGGCATAACCTGTTAACTTCCTATTATGGATGACCAGGATTTAACTCTCTTTCTTCCCTTCTCTATCAACCCCCAACACACATGTGAAACCCCCATCATTCCCTTAGAAGCAAAAGCCTTTCTGATCGGACCAATATTCATGTGTTTGCAATATTATCATCATAAATATGCAGCATTATTTATTATCAACAATTTTTCTGGGTTTTTTGGGATTAATTGTTTTCTACTAATTTTTTTGTTTAATTTCTACTAATTTTTCTGGAATTATTTTCCATTTTGATTAACTTTCTTTGTTCTTATTATTAAATCAACTTCATACTTCCTGTCAGTTGTTTTCATCCTCTTTCAATAAAGCCCTTAACAACCTAAAATAACAGAGATCCTCTACAGAGAATGGGTTTATCTGGAGTGAGTGACAGCAATCTGGGATAGGTGGTGCCATAGCAAGCCATACCACAGGCATTTCCAGGAGGCAAAGGAAAGCAAGGATTTGTAAAGACAAGATGGGGAGAATTATGTAAATTGTATTAAGACACAGAAAACATTGGTAATGGGGATTATCTCAGGAACTGAGGCAAATGATCTCTTTGTGGTCTGGATCTATTTAGTCAGGATTTGACAAGATGACTCTTATTAACTGGATTTCAATCACTATGACAAAATACCAGAGAAAATCAAATTAAAGAAGGAAAAATTTATTTCGATTCATGATTTCAGAAATATTAGACCATGGGTCACTTGGTCCCATTGATTTGAGCATTTGACAAAGCAAGATATCATGAAGGGGAGCATGTGTTGGAGCAGAACCGCTTACTTTATGGCATCTGGGAAGCAAAGAGAGAGCAAGGGGGCTGTGAAACATACACTCCCTTCCAGAGCACATCCCCAGTGACCACTTCCTCCAACTAGGCTTCACCTCTTA